ACTTGGGCATTCGGTTTTCTAATATCCATTCTCTTTACAAAAGGCACATTGATTCCTATAAACTCTAGGATGTGCCCCTCTAGACTGCGGCCTCCGATTTCGGTATGGATTTTTTGCTCTTGCGACCAATGCCCCCGCTACCGGCTCAATTGAAGTCTCATTATCCTTTTTCGAAGCTGATAAATCACATGTACGGTGATGACCTCACTATACGAAAGAGGTGCTTTCCCATTAATCTGAGTAAGGACTAAGCTCTCATATTCCTCGTCAGGTAAGGAACTCAACAAGAGCAATGCCTTATCCTCATCTTCAACCATAACAGCTACATTCGCCAAATCCACAATAAGATTTGTGTAGTGGTTCATGTGATCACCAATGAATGTTCCTTTCTTCAATTGGAAGCGGTAAAACCTCCTCTTCAAATGTAATCGACTTTCCACACTCTTGGTTAAATATTTGCTCTCAAGGATCTCTCAAATCTTCTTTGCTGAAGTATCATTGATCACATAATATTTCAAATTTTGAGTTAAACAATATCTAGCATCTATTGGAGTCGATCATTTCCAAGATCTAATTCTTCTTTCTTATTATGTCATACACCACACGCCATTCGAATCATTTTTTTCCAAACCTTTTCCTCAATATCGTCCGGTTTCCCGTCCAACTCCAATGTATCTTCTAAATTTTGCACGTTGAGCACATCCAAGACTTCACATCTCCAAAGATCAAAATTGTTAGTGCCGTTAAATTTCTCCACATCTATCTTCATAGAGTAAATTCTCAAACTTTGGACGGTCTTCATGCTAGAAGTACCCTCCACAACTCCTTCTTTATCGACCATCTTTCTCAAAGCACCAACAAACCAATGCGGAACAAACGAAGAATATATCCAAACTGAAAAGAGAGATTTTTATACCTCCAAGTGAAACCCTAATAAGAGCCTCCGAAAGATCTCAACCCCACACAACGGAAACGAGATCCACAATAGTAAAAACCCATCTTTATCACCAACTGAAACCCTAGACGAGCTTCCAAAGCGATATACTCTTCCACCTAGCCCAAACGTAGCCAAAGTTTTGATACCACTTGTTGTGTGTGGAAGCCAACTGTTGTGCTTCGAGGAACCAAACACAGATGCCGAGAGAGAAAGCCAAATAATACAAAATAATGGCACAAACACAAACAACCAATTTTACATGGTTCGGCAAGTTGCTTACGTCCACGAGACAAAAAGTGGATGATGTTTTTGTTGGCCTTCTTGTTTTGATGATGATTAACAAACAATTTATTACTAATGTTGTTTGTCTAGTGTTTGTGCATTCCTATGTTTTGTAGACAAACAACGTAGTTGGAGGTTGGATGGATTGAGCCTACACGTTCATATCAAGAGGAGGTTGGCGGAATAGTGGAATGAAGCAATGCACATTCAAGTCAAGATCCAAGTTCAAGCTTCATCCACAAGATTACCAAGATAGAGCTTCGTTGAAGATCAAGATTGCTTGGGTAATTTAGTTTAGGAATTTATATTATGTGTGTTAGTACTTTAAGCTCAATCATATACACACATACACGTTTTGGTATATATACAGTTATATATATACATATATGTTTTTGGTTTAATAGGTTTCGAGTTTATATATGAAACAAATAAATAAAATTGGATAATACTATTTTGTTTCACGTTTATGTGCCTATATATGATTTCGTCTTTAACAAGTTATATTTAATGAAATCATATTTAGTGTTTTGTATATATTGCATAGAATATGTAATTTTATGAAAATATGGTATTTCTAGGTTATAGACTTCATAACAACATGTTATATCTTTTATCAAGTCTATACAATCATTTCATAAGGTTTCAAAATGTTGTTTAAGTCAAAATATCAAAATATCAATTTTCAGGTTTTCATGTTTTTGAACATATTTGCAAAATGATGATATTTTACATTTGGGAACTCCTTTCTGATAACCAGTCGCTGTAGCATGTTTATTATCATGTCTACAATCATTCCCCAAAGTTTTACATTTTTCTGAATTTATTTGATATTTTTAAACAGGGTTTTAAAATCAGCAAATCAGTTTTTATATATCAATTCTTTCCATCGGTCGACCGACAAGATTTCCGGTCGACCGACAAAAGAGCCGTTGGCTCCTAACGGCTATTTCTGAGCTGATCTGTCTGGGGCTTTTCTGTCTTTCTCTTGGGGGTTTTTGGCTGAGTTTTGAGAGGGTATAAATACCCATTGCTGATTTCTTTTCAAACTATCTAAGAAGTTTTTAAACAAGTTTTAAACAAGGTTTTAAGTGTGTTTAAGGGTTTGTTTTTGTTTGTGAAGAAGTTTTCACAAGTGGAGGAGATCATCTTCTTGTTTGGGCTCCAATCTCCATCTCTCCATCTTGTCTTCCATTGAGAAGTTTTCTAAACTCTACTCTAGCTTTCATTTGTTATTTGTTAATTATCAATTCTATTAAAGCTAGTTTTATATTGAGTTTAGATTTGATTTCACTCATTGTTACACACACCCACTTTGAGCTTATTGTATTTGTATTCATAATATATTAGGGTTGTGAGAGTTGTAGCATTGAGTGTGAGCTTTTATTGTGTTCTCATCCATATTAGAGAACAATTTATATTTGTTACATTGTGAGATTGTTAGGTTTTCGGTGAGCTAGAAACCGAGTGTGGTGTGAAAGTTTTCGGTGAACTAGAAAACCGATTGTGAGGAGTGACGTTGATCGGTGAGCGTTGAAAACCGATACTGTGAGGTGTAAATGTTGTTCGGGTGAACGTAGAAAACCCGGTTGTGATAGTGGAATTCTCCCCGGAAGTGGGGAGCGGAGACGTAGGACGGAAGGTCTGAACTCCGTGATCATATCGTGTGTTTGTGATTGCATTGGCGTTCTTATTCTTGTTTTCATATCTTATATCGCCTTTGTGTATTGCTCATCATATTACCCTATCACTTGTGTAGATTGTTTATTTTACCCTTGTGTTGTTTATATATCCTTGCATATATACATATTCATCATATATGATATATCTCTTTGTTGTTCATATTACTTATCCTAGCTCATATACATTGTTGTATTTCATACTTGCTAGGATAACTTATTAATAAGTTTTAATTGGCATTTAATCGGATTAGATTAGCATAAGACCCTAATCACCCCCCCTCTAGGGTCTAACAGTTTTCACTAATAGAGAATAAGTGTACAAACTGAGATTACAAATCACTCAAACTTACCAATTAATCTCACCAACAAAGCTCTTAATCTCTCAAACAAAACCCTAACCAATAGTTCAAGAAAATACCTCTTTTCTGTGCTCCAAATATTCCCACAACAGCTCCCCAAGAAACCCTAAAAAATTGTTGCTATTTATATCAAACATCAATCCCAAACAGAACAAGAAACCGCAATCAGGCCCAAATCCGACTAGCGGTCTACCGCCGAAATCGTCGCGGTCGACCGGACAGAACGGAGAAAACCAAAAAATACATTACAGGATCCGCGGTCGACCGCACTTGACGCCGCAGTTGACCGCACTTGACGCCGTGATCGACCGGACAGAAAACCGGAAAACACCCTGTAGTCGTGCACGTTTGCGGTCGACCGCGCCAAAGCTCGCGGTCGATCGGCAAGCACCCAAATGCCTATCTGCATCAAATTTCTTGATATTCTCCAATGCTTTCCCCGTTTCTACAAAAGCTAGATGCATATCAAGCCTAAAATAAGGCATTATTAATTTTCCATACAGAATTAGTTCTATATGGTCTGGACCGCAGCTCCAAGAGGTTTGAGTCTTTTACTGGTGAAGGCCATTATCATAATCTAGTTTAACTGTGAAGTGATTTGATGAAGGATGTTTTTAACTTGGCATTTTGACAAGTAAATGGTTCGTGTGAAATGGTAACCAGGTAACATTCACGTCCGAAAATAACTGCGGTGGTTGGTTTTGCAACCTAGAGTGCGTTATGGAGATTAGAAATGAATGAAAGGGGTACAACAATTCATGAAAAGTTACAAAGAGGGGACGATAAACTACATAAAAAAATGTGGAAATATATGACGCCAGTCCACTGTCTTTTCTCAATTGTAGTGCGGCTGACTTCGTTCGTGGGCATCTAAACATCTCCTCGAGCTTTGCTACAGGGACAAAAAAATATGAGACTAATAAGGAGACAAGTGAGGTGTCCCTCTCATATTAGATAATGAGTTGACCATCTTCCTCTTATTGATCCTATATGTTGGGTCCTTGACCTTGAGGAATTTTTTCATCTTTCTAGCGATTCATTAAACGCATCACAACAAAAACTGTGCGTGAAAGTTATGGTGTACTTCCCACGCCTTTGAAATGTCATCACTCGCTATAAATTTTTTGAGCACATTTCATGGCTATTTATTTAAGGCTAAATATCATAAAAAACCCCCATAACTTTGTGTGATTGTGAGAAAACCCCCCCTTCACATTCAAAATATCGTGAAGTCCCTATTAGCCCCCCTTTCACTTTGAGATTTTATCGACTATGAGGTTTTCTTGATAAAACCTCAAAGTTACAGGGTTTTTTTGATAAAAATTAAAAGTTGAGGGTGTTTTTGTTATAATATCTGTACTTAAGGGGGTTTTCGCTACCATCCAAAGTTAAAGGGGGCTTCCTGATATTACCCTTTATTTAATTAACGGGATGTGGATTATTAAGCCCTTTCCTTGCAAATTTACATGGGATATTAACCGGGCCCTAATCGATAAAACCCGGCCCGATAACCTAACTCGGCTTAATTTTGGACTTGGGAGCCGCCGCGGAACTCGGGGAGCACTCCTCGAGCCCTTCCCGTTCCAGTAATTTTCTCCACCGCCATCCACAAACCCTCAACTCAGCAAAATCTAGCCGTCCATTTTGTTTCAATCCAACGGTCAGATCGCTCGATCCGCGTGCTCTCTCCTCATTGGGCAAATACTAAACACAACCTTATAAATGAGGGCCGACTCCCCCAAATCAAGCAACGCGACCCCAATTCTCGTTTAGCTTCCCCCTCTTCCGTTCTCGTAACCCTAGCCCCCCAAATTCGCAAGAACTCGATCGAAATTCTCAATTAATGGCGGGAAGAGGAAAGGCGATTGGTTCCGCGGCGGCGAAGAAGGCGACGTCGAGGAGCAGCAAGGCCGGGCTCCAGTTTCCGGTTGGTAGGATCGCTCGCTTCCTGAAGGCGGGAAAATACGCTGAGAGGGTT